AAGAGTGTGTTGGACATCCTGAGCAAATGCCAATGCAAACCCTAAAGAACATATACCAGAGAGCAGAAGGGAAAAGACAAGCCTGAGCATTTAGAGTAAACACATATTTAAATCACCTAGGCTTCCTCCCCAGAAGACAAAATGTAGTTAGCCATGTTAACCCCCTGAAAATAACATTACGAATTATACAGATAAGATTGTCTTTCTCTGCCCTGTGTGTTTGCCCCAAGCCTCCATATCCTCTGTCTAACCACCTCTTCAGCTCAGCTTCCATCCATGCCTGCTCTTCAAACCGCCTCCCCTCATCTTTGCATGTGCCCTAGAGGTTTCCACCATTCCTTGTCTTTCTTTTTAACAAAGCTTCTCTCAAGTAAACCCCACTACATCCTCCTCCCTCTCCCCCCAAATTGTGGTGCTAAAATAACAGCTGCTAGCACTTTCCATTCTGTCTGCAAGTCATCCCTCTCTTTTCCCGTTCTTTTTGGACTCTAGACTCATGGTAGGCCTGTATACTTCTGTGTACCCAGGACCATAACTATTGGGGAAGGAGTGGGGCGAGATGCAGAAGTAGCAGTCCCCTATGCTGCTGGCCTGGCTGCCACCCCATTCACTGCCACTGCTCAGCATGCACAGCCACACAGCTATGCTCTGGCTGTAGCTGTAGACCACGTAGCACACTGGGATCCCAGCTTTGCTTGGGCCAGGGGTCCCGAGGAAGATTATAAACACAGAGTTATGTTTGCACCTGGCAGAGGGAGTTTGAATTAGCTGAAATTGGCTTGTTTTTAGGAAAGTGATTTTTGTTAAAGCAGCTCTCTATTTGTGCCCCTCTGTCAAGTGCCTGTTTAGGTTTATAAAAATGGGTTGCCGCTCAGGTACTGAGTTTCATTGTTTTAAGTAACACATAAACAAGCCTCCCCAGGTGACAGGAAGTGAAATTCTGTTTGAATTGTGATCAACAGGCAGGGTTTTTTATTATTATCATTAGTTCCGTGACTGGGGCTGCCAAGGTTGTTGTATGGAAAAATACAAGCTTTGCTCTGCAGGTATAAAGAGACTCATGTATTCAGAAGTAGCCTTACTCATATTAAAGGAAACACACTGCTGGGCATAAATCCATGGAACAACAATACCTGCCAAGAGAATGTCCGTGCAAAAAGAAAAGGGGGCTGGGAGTCCTCTAGGGTTTGCAGAGTGGGGGAAGATTATTTGATATCAGTCGAGTCTCACCTATGCAACGAATTTTAGGAGAAGAAGGGGCTCTTCAGTTCTTCCCTTTTGCTATTCTATTTGTGTCCCTTGGGATCAGGTTGTGGCTTGCTGACTGCCTATGTAGGATACTGATGACAGAGCTGATTCACCTGAGTTTCAGGCACAGCAGTGCATCATGTGAATGTTCAAGGACACCTTCTCCCAGGGGAGCAGCCCTAGATTTTTAACACCGCCATTAACACTTCAGGTGTCTCACAGGACTCTACACAGCAATACCCTGCATAGGGTCTGGCTTGGCAATGGTTGTGGGGGTAAACAGCAGCTTGTACTTCACAAAAGCACATATATAAACACTGGGCTCTAGAGCCATCTTCATAAATAAGTTACTTCATTTCAGGTGGACATTCAGGGTGAAACCCTACCCTCCTGTGCCTCTAGGACCACACAGTTATCCAAGAGTAGGATTTGATACACTGAATTTTGACACAGAGCCTGCCTTGCCTAAGCCCTTCCAGGTGGGTAAGTCACATTTGTAGCTGTGGCATTCTCTAGAACACAAGACTAGCATTGTAAGCAATATTAATAACCCCACATATGTAGGGATGGAGGTGAGGTCATGGTTGTACCCACCCTCTGCCAACAGCTTCAGCTGGCACATGGATAGTAAAACAATTATTGTCCCCAGCACATTTCCAACACCACCCAGTAGGTGCTAGCTGACCTCATACCACTTCATTGTCTATTATAGTCACATTTTACCTTGGGGAGGAGGCAGACATTTTGATTAGCTCCTCCTTTTCTGTGTTACACCATGCATAAAAGTAGAATACACTGTGGTCTTAGTTACCTCACTGTAAATTTTGAATATTCATGCAAAGCTTAGCTTTGAAGTAAAGTATAGTGAGGTCCTTACCTTTTCTCAACCCCATTTTTCCACTGGGTTGATGGAGATGAGTCAAAGTCGATATTTTTTTCAAAACCTGAAGCAAAAAGAATTTGGTGCCACGTGAGAAATAAGATGTTTGTTTTCAACACAGTGCAGTTTCTTTGTACTGATGTTGACATGCCAAGATTTGTTTACAATGTGTTGTGAATATGGCATCTTAACTGGGGTACCAGAGATACTGTTGAGCAGCAAATAGGAACACTCAGGGATGGAAAATAAATAAATAAATAAATAAATAATTAACAAGTTACCAGACTGCTAGAGGCACGTATTACGAATATGGGACAACTGTCAGCAGCAGGCCAATTTTTAGACTTATTCTTAACATCTTCAAAGTTAAGTAAAGAAGCTGTGGTCAGAAGAGACCTAATTTTGTTCACGGTAGGGTAGCCAGGTGTCAGATTCTCAGCTGGTGTAAACTGGTATAGTTATGTGGACATCAATAGGATCAACATCAATTTATGCAGCTGAGAATCTGACTTAAATTGCCCTAATGAAGCAGTGACAAAGTCTAGGTCTTACACCAATAACTGAGCCACAGGCCTTGTGTTTGTGTTCGTCCATAATTTAGCTCAAAAGCAGAATCTAGCTAACATAAGCTTTTCACAACCATTTTTCCAGCTGTGTTGATTGAGAGGAGGAGGTTGAATGACTTGCCTGAGGTCAGAGTTGAACAGCAGGATGAGAACCCAGGATTTTTCTACTGTGTGGTAGCCTGTAGCCTCCTCTGGGAGACATCCTAGAAAAGGTTTCAGCATAGGGCAAAGAAATACATAGAATAATAGTTTGAAGATTTCAATAGAAATATCATAATTTATTCTGTTTGTATAAAAAGTAGTAATTGTGTAGCAAAACTATGTCTTCATAAGAAGAAATATATTATTTCACATCATAAATAAAATCAGCAAACATACAACCCTTGGCAACTCAAAAAAGCACTCATCTGGTGCTCTCACGTCAGTGCTTGGGAAGTGGGAACTGTTTAAGATGTATGTACAGGATTACAGTACCAAAAAAAAAATACTGAGGTATTTGGTTTCTCTAGAAATGAAGCTTCAGGCTTGTGAAGGCAGAGACAACACATTTACATAAAAATAAATAAATAATAGGACTTGTATAAAAAGGGACAGTGTCACTTGCTTTGAATGTCCAGGAATGGAAATACTGGTGAGTGTGCTACTTAACACAGACTAGGTTTAGAACTGACAGAAGACAAAGATGGAATAGAAGGAAGCAATGTCCTTTTGACTTCTTGGTAGATGTCCAGATTTGGTCAAAAAAATTGTCAGTCAAGTCAGAATGAACCTAGCTCTCTGGAGCCAGATAAGCTCCTTCTGATTAGTAATAATGTGTTGTTCTGAATGATGGATGAGCACAATGAGAATGAAAATGACCGATGACACTGTCCCCAGAGTTATTGCACTTTTTAAATAACAAGGGTCAAGTCTCTGAGTTCTGAACAAATTCTTATCTGCCTTTCAGCAGCTGGGAGAAGTGGTGATGGGGCTCTGAAGATAGCTTAATGCACTGGATGATGCATGTACAGGGATGGAGACAGGGAAATTGAAGACTGTGGTTGTTGATGCCCCTCTGTCCAATACAGACATGGCTGGGCTTCCAGCTTCTGCTGAGCAGTTTGGGGCTAGGACCTGGGACTCAAACTGCAGCAACTGGCCCATGAAGCTGAAGTTTGGGGAAATGATGCTTCTCCTCTGTTTCACAAACTCAAAGGCTTCATCCAGTTTGACTCTGTTGGTCCGCATGAGATAAGCGAGGCAGATGGTTGCCGATCGGGAGATGCCAGCTTGGCAGTGCACAAATACCCTTCCACCATCGTTTTTAACAGAGTCTGAAATACAAATGATTCATTTAAATGCCTGGGTCATGCTGCTGCAAAAGCTACAGAAACACGCCTTGCTATTTCATGCTATTGTACTTATATTTAATATTTTACTTCCTTAGCACTCCAAGAGTCCATGGCACTTTTGCAGACAAAATGGACCCCTGTCCTGAGAGAGGCATATAGCAGAGGTTTTGATTCTAAAAAACCTTCAGGATCCTTTAAGGCAGTGCTTCTCAACCTGTGGGTCATGACCCAAAAGTGGGTCACAAGAATGTATGAAAGGACCATAAACAAAATTTTAAAGAGGAATCCTCCTTCAAAAAGGAGAAAAAAAAAAAAAAAAAAAAAAAGTGTGGGAAGCTATGGCTTTTCCCTTGCAGGCAGGCAGAGTTCCAGCCTGAAAGGGGCTGCTTGGGGCCCCCCATGCCTCATATCCACCCACTCCCTGCCCCACACACTGGGGCAGGGGGCACTGGGTCAGGACTAGCCACTGATGTTTACAAATGGGTCCTGGTACAAAAAGAGAGAAAAGGTTGAGAACCACTGCTCTAAAGATCCTCAGCTCTCAGTAATACAGCCTTCAGGGAGCACCCATAAGGGATAGCTGCTGATTTTCTTTATTTTAATTCCTGAGGAAACATGATGCATCTTAAATTTAGACCCGACTGGGGGAGCTCATCCGAGTTTTCTGCCACAAGGGTAATAATGCCCGCTCAGTGCTTAGAAGCACAGACGCCGGGGGATAGCTCATTTACCTATGAAATCAATGGCTTCGTTAAACCAGGAGCTGATGTCCGCCTTGTGGTTGTCCTCCACTGGGATGCTCTTGTATTGGTAGTGCCCCTCAAAATGGTTGGGGCAGTTAGCCGAGACGTTGATTAACGCCGTGATCCCCAAGGCATCCAGCATGTCCTTTCTGGAGGCGTGGTAGGCACTACCCAAGTAGAGGAATGGCAGGATTTCCACGGGGCCACCCTGAGAGGAGAGACGGGGAGAGACGATCAGATGGTTGCATTCTGCAATGTCCAACAGCTTCTCCCCCCTTTGCAATCCGCTTGCTTTCCCCCCCCCGCCTCCCCCCGCCGCTCGCGTCCTACCCACCTGGTCGTACAGCGGGGTGCCACACGAGCTGCAGCCCGAGTCGGCGCTGTCGGGCACGCTGCTGGCGCTCAGGGGCAGGCTGAGGCCCGTGGGAGGCGATGGCTTGGTGCACAGCTCAGAGCAGGCGGAAGAGAAGGCTTCGTACCCTCCTGCCGTGGGGAAAGGAGAGAAGTTGGTTTAGGATCAAGTCGGTGCCGAGACGCCTGGGGTTGCCAGGCTGGGCTGTGCCCTCAGTTTTGCCCC